AAAATAAGTGAACAAGCATCGTTGTTCGACATCAGAAAATGCAAAATAGCTTTTGTTGATAGAGAGAAGAATAGGATGAACATCAAATTAGTTCTTCTCTCGTTTTTATTATTACCTACGGACAGTTACAAAAAAAAACAAGATAAAAACAGCTACTACTTTTAAAATACAGTTAACGATTCGAAATCAATTATCTTCTTCTAAATCGACTCTATGAACTTATTCTTCTTTAAAAACTTCTTTTGATCGAGAACATATGTTTATTAATTAATTTCATATAAATTATATTGAATATTTATTTTTTTGTGATACCATGAATTAAATAAAAATTCTAAATGACCAAGACACTTTATGATAATTGATAGAGAAAATGTAACAAAATTCCATATTGAAAAACGAATAGTTTTTCAGGTTACAGTTGTATGATAGTCTATAGATTGAGGAACAAAACGATTTTAACTGACTTCTAAATGAGATAATTAATTAGTTAAAATTAAAAAATTTTTGTTTTGATGACTTCATTTGTTCATAGACAAAACTTGCAGCTTTGATTTTGTGATTGATATTGATGGGCGTTACATCTACCTATCTTATGAAATCAGCCTTGAATTTCCGACATCATTCACTGTCACACTATGGCATCTGGAAAAGTGTACCTTCGACAGCATATAGAAGAATCAAAAGAAACAAATTTCAATCTGAAATTTTGTCCATAAGTAGACTTCATAGTCCATAGAATACCCACAAATTTCTAGTCAAAACGGATGCTTTCTTCTCGAGATACATGTTCATCAATTGTATTTCGAATAATAAATCGATAAACAACAACTAGTTTTGTTTGTCCTATACAATAAGCACGATCTTGTGCTTGCATATCAAGCATTGGATTCTAATATTAAATTTAAAACTCAATAAAAATGATCAATTATAACTTCATATAATACCCAATCGCCCAATCTAAATTGAATAAAACCACTGTACTAGCTCCCATTAAATGCAAACCTAAAATCCAAGTTTTTGTGCTTATCAAAAAAAAAAAGAATACATCGGGGTCTTTATTGAATGTTGTAATCTAAAAATAAAATTTATTTAGTTTTTTTTGGATTAATTCAATTGAAAACATACAGCATCAATTCTTTCTTCAAAATTTTTATTACCATCAAATATTATATAATCATAATTTTGATGTTCACACATTGCTTCAAGTACGTCAAGAAAAGTCATCAATATTGAAAAGATCAAAACCTATAGAAATTCTTTAGATTTGTTTTTTCTCATATTGATTTGAATGTTTCACTTTATAATTTTTTTTACTTAATTTTACAAGCATTTTATCTAATAAAATAAATTGTCCGCTATTTGTTATTAATTCTTCATTAATAATTAATTCTGCATTTGCATCTTGTGGTGCATCAAGTAAATATGGATGTGTACAAGCATGAAGAAGTAGAAATACGGCACTACAACCTCTCATTTTCTTTGCAATAATATCTTCTCTAAAGTATTAAATTATTTTTAAATGAAATATTTCATTACTTTGGTTTCAATGGAATATCGTCAGGTTTACGTTGACTTCTTCATCGTTGAGTACCATCAAATACTA